CAGGGTTCCGGGATCAATTTCTTGGCGCGCGAGAGACGCGCGAAAACGCGGCGAAAGGTGGGCGAAAGGTCTTCATACGTACTTGAGAATGTCACAGCCTATCATGAAAGATGAAACGAAAACCAGGTTGCGAAATTCCATGTTTTAGTTGGCGCGATAAAGACCGCGAAAGCTCCGCGAAAGGCGCGGCGAGTGATGGGTTTTCGGGAAAAGGAATTTAGAACAGCCCCCAACTGAAGTTTTGTTGAAGCCTCTGACCTTGGCTTGTCTTGTGAATGGCTGAGAAGCAAGCTTCTCTCCTGCAGTTGCAAGCTTTTGACACTGTGAGGGAAGGTTTGCGGGCTCTTTTGCAGACTACGTGCTCTAGTCTAGCTTCAGCTTCCAAATCGCGAAGCTCCCCGGGAGGGATCTTCCTAGGGGGTTTGGAGGGGTTGATGCAATTTTGGTGGGGTGTTTGAGCTGAACCCCGCCGCACGCTGGCCGGAGCCTCCTTGCCAGGGAGGGGCTTTTTGGGCTAGACTATGAGTCTTCTGGATGGGGGCATGTTGGGGGCATCTTGGGGGGAGCTTGGGAGATCTTGGAGGGCCTTGAACAAATTCGCTGTCCAAGCCTCCCAACCAAGATCCTCCAAGATCTCCCAGGACCCCCACATCACTAGTTGCTTCGGTCCATATAGCATAGAAGGATTTAAAGAAGCTGAATTGCGTACTCTTCTGTCCTATTTAGAAGTCTTCTATCTCTCCGTTCCTGTATCGGAAGCCCTGTCCATGGTCCATCCAGGCCTCAGGCTTTGTCAAGGTTCTCAATCAACACGTAGCCAAGACCGCAAGGAAGCATTCAAACAACAGAAAATCAGTAGGTCTTGGTCCTGAAGATCTCCAGAACATTGTTTTCGTGCTAATTTTCAGCACCTCCTGAGCCTTTGGCACGACTTTCAGCTGGAAACTTTTTTTTTTCTAAGACCCGCTCAGGTTTTGGCAAAGTTTTCAGCCCAAATATTACCAAAACCCAAAGCAGTCCAGGAAAGGGGAATTCCCAGTTGAATGTGGGGCACATGTAATTACGGAGTTGCAGAGAGAAGTCCAAGAATCCAAAATTTGAGAACAAAATTTAACAGCTAAATTAGAATCACGCGTAGTAAAGGGCCTACACAGAGAAAATGAATGTCCAGGAAAAGAGAAGTAAAAATGGATTCTAGAATTTTTGATGAATTGTGAACTGTGAGGAAGCCAAGATAAGCCCAGACTTCAGGTTTTTGAACATCCCTGAGGAAATTCGAAGGAAATCTTGTAAGGGAGTACTGCATCAGGATTTGAGAAGGGCCCCTTACACTGTGACGGATACATATAGCAATCACGGCCCGGAAGAGGAGCACATCTAGTAGGAGGCTATACGTAGAAGATCGGGAGCCTTGGATCTGAGAATTAGCATTAAAAATTGAACTGCATGTGGCAAGGCATGTACATAGAACAACAGAATCCCAGGATCTGAGAAATGCTACTCAAATTTGAGGCCTCTCTAGCAAGAGGCTTGCTTCAAGAAAATACAGCCCGAAAGTAGAATTCCCGCGTGAATTTGAAGCACATATAGCAAAGGATGTATAAAGAATCCGGAACCCCGGGACCTGGATCTCAGAATTTCCCCGTAAATTCGAGGCGGGTTAAGTAAGCGGCTTACATTTTTTAAAGAAGATCAAACGCTTAGGAAATGAACATCGGGGTACAGGACGCCAGAATTCCTGCTCAGATTCGAAGCTTATTTGGTAAGGCATTTAAAAAAAAACAACTAGTCAGGGATTTACGTGACTAAAATGAAGAACCCAGGGGAGGTCTACAGAAAGAATATCGATCAAACCCAGGAAATGAGCACCTAAGGCGAAACAAACACATGAAACTCAAAATAATCTAGACCTGCATCTGGGGGGGATTCCATGAGCATCGCATGTCTGCTGCCAGCTGCCACGGAAAGGTTCCATTGGAAGGCTGCCGATTTTGGCCGCTGATTAAGGCACGTTGTAGTTTATGGTGATGGTAATTATCTATGAAGCCTCTTTACATGACGTATCATCGGAAATAGCATGAACATGTAAGAAGCGAAAATCACGTGCAGGGCACTGTGTTTGCTAACCATGCGGGTTCGGTGGGTGAAGGGGTTGTTCATACAATTATACATGTACATGCAATGGCCACATTGACAGGAGGACGTTCAAATCTGTAGATTTGTAGTCGAATGGCTAAGGGCTAAGGTGCTTGCCTCCAGATCCCTGCCTTCGGGAGGTAACCAGGAAACCCCTACGAGAGACCTTCCAATCTTTGGAAGGGCCCGAAAAAAACCTCCCAAACACAAAGCACCAATTCCGGAATGATCAAGGAGGGATTCGGGCCCATAAAATTGTTGCAAGACTGATCTTGAGGCAAGCACCTTGGCCCTTCGCCAGTTAGTTACAGATTCAGACGTCTTCCTGTCAATGCGGCCATACAATGTAAACATGATATATAGTGGCCGTCGACAACATGGCCCCGCTCTGAAAAAAAGGGGCACGTTATGGTGGAGACGCAAAAAGGACCAAATTTTTGACAACCTACTTATGTGTCAAATTTTGAACGTCAGAACCCCAAAACTAAAAGACAAAATGAGGGGCTCGATTTCTCGATTTTGTTTTGGGCTTAGGGCCTGGACAAATGATACACCGCGAGGCTCAAGGGGAAGATTGAGATCTCTTCCAAAACTCTTTTTCTAGTCCAGAAGCTGCCCCTTAGAAGTTTGGTTGCCAAAGCCGCCAAAAGCAATTCTGGGGACCAAGTTGAACGTACCCTCCCTTCTGGATGTCGATATGTGCGCTTTTTCATGTCGTTTATGTAGCGTACTGTGGCGAGGGGCTCAATTTCTGAAGCAGTGATTTCTTAACACATGCCACTGCTGTAGCAAGATCTGCTGTGCAGCCTGCCTTTATTGTTCGTCTACCAGTCCCAGGTTGCCGCTTTGTGGCTTTGACGGTTTCCGGCTTCGTGCAGCTGCCTTAGCATACTGGCAAGTGCCTGCCATGACCGCCCGGGTAGATCTGGCTGGCGTCTGCGAGGTCGGAGATACCATTGTCAAGCCTAAGGCTTGATTTGGGGCCCACTCAGGGAGGTGTTAATATTTTCTAGATCTCTTACCGTGCCTCGGAGAAGTTGCTTCAATGTGCCAAAACTTGATCCTGTGAAGAGCCCTTGCAGAAGACTTTGCAGCGCTTGCAGCGCAGGAGGGCGAGGCCTTCGTTTGGGACCACTCCTTCGAGCACGAGGTGCACCATTGCCGTGTACGTGCCGTATACGTGCTGTTGCTTTTTCCTGCTGCGCTCTCAGCTTTCCAAAAACGTTTTTTCGTCGAGGCCTGGCACGAGGGCTCCCAGACCCGCCTGGTTCTGATTGTGGACATTTGGCATCCAGACTTGACAGATGCGGAGGTTCGGGGCTCAGCTGGGAACCTCTACCTGTCCCGGACTACTAGATGTCCCGGGTGTTGACGCTTCATTCAACGTCCTGAATCTCATGTATCTCTCTTGAGAGTCATGGCTCGTTTGAATAGGCGGCAAATCCTGTAAAAAAGGAAGCGCGACTTAAAAGCGAATTGGCACCAGATGGCGCATGAAATGCTGTTCTGCTAGTGGTTGTTGCACGGTTCGAGTCCTGTGCATGCCAAATATCAAATTCTCTTTTCCTTTGTTCCTGCCGAAACGGGAGAGTGACAGAATTGCGCGCGTCCGGCAACACGTGCACAGGTCAAATTTCTGCGAACGCTGCAGAGCTGCCGCTTGCGCGCGGGAAAGGTGCAGCGTAAAACTCAAAGTTTGTGCTCCTTGGGATAGTCAGGCGACCTCTGTCTAAGCGATCAGGCCTTGGCTGAGCTGAGCGCAGAAACGAGCCCAGAGGCGGACGGATTTTTCGGAGCTGAACACTTTTCGAGGTCAAGTTGCCATCAAAGGAAGATTAAGGTATGTAAGAGTCAAGCTCCAACACAAATTGAACTGGCACCGGTCTGCCAGCATTGCGGAATGTTCTATTGTATTGCATGGCAGGATGCATCGTACTTTGAGATAGTGGAGAAAGCACGTTCACTCCTCACCACAGACGACTGGTGGGTGGTGTCGGCCTCAAGTTACAATTCATAAGAGGACAAGCTCGCTACATGTACAGTACTAATCATTCGAATATGCTGGCTCTGCCTGGCCTGAGGGGCAGGAGCCTGAGACATCGTCAGCGTGCGCTACACTGCTACAGGAAAACAAGCTGCGGGAGAGTGAGCTCATTTGTTATGGGGCCCTGGAAACACTGGAGCCCTGAGATGCACTGCGTACAGAAGCCTCAAAGTCTTGGCTTGCAACGTGTAAACAGCTTCACAGATTGAAGCTGCTGAAATTCCAAAGGTACACGGTGGTGACACTGGTTCCCAAATTTCCCCAAAGTATGCATCATTTTGACATGCCATCTCCATGGAGCGCTGCATCGCCTTAGCAGCTGAGAGTATTCGTGCCGGCAAAGTCGGCCCTTGATTAAGGAAAAGCAACGCCTGAGTTGCTCTGCTCCTGATGTCTCTCGTCAACCTCATGGATCACGGAGGCTCATGGAAGGCGGCTTTATCGGGTTTCATCGTTGCATGCTTTAATAACCAGCGCATCACGTGCGGAGGGATCTCGGACTTGAGCATCATCTCTCGAAAGAGCCACTGGGTGACCAGTACTGCAAGCGAGTCTAAGATCAGAGACATGAGGAAGGACAGAAACTTCTTTTTCCACCAGTCTTCACCGATTTGCACCTCCCAGGCAGCGTTTTGAATAGCTTCAGATCCACGAACATACGGTCGAGGAAAACGAAATCCTGACCCAGATGATCCAGATGTTCATGAAGAACGCGAAAGATGGCTCTGGAAAGCATTGAACACTGTAAATGTGCTGAGAGGCATTCGCCTGGCATGGGCTGAGATTACTGATGTCTGCGACCCGTTCCGACCCGACGTTACGCCGCGCACTCGAAATGCCGTCAGAAGTGTCCTGAACTCCTGCAGACGGTCTGCCAGAGGATGATGTCCTGGCGCGTCGCGACGTATTCGTTGGAAAACGGATAAGAGGAAAAAAATAATGATAACAAACCAATACGGAATTATGAGATGCACAATTTTGAAGACGCGCTAAGAGGAAACTAGTAGGAAACTCACAAAGGAAATGGGGTCTTTGTACAACCCGAGCTGCTGTGGGTCTTGAGCTGGCCCCGTGAGAGTCCAAGCCTCCAGAAGTTTCTGCAAGGTGACTGTCTCGTGGAGATTGGAATTCTATCAAGCTTCTCCGCAAGGGACGGAACGCTAGGCAAGGCAGACTACGAAATATTCACGGCGAGCTTGTTTCCTCCGAACTACGGGCCCACACACTAGCTGAACACTTGGAACAAGTTCAATGGCGGGTTCGTCCGACAACCCTGATTCCTGGTATTAGGGCCTCTTTGGGGGAGCAGTTGCATGTAAACCCCTCTACGTTCAACCATGCCGAGCTTACATTTGCAATTAAGAAAATGGCGAGCGGCAAGGCGACAAAAGATTATGACATCCCGGTGAAATTTTCAAGGCCTTGACAAACGAGCCTACGTCATCTATGCAATGGCTCCTGGATCTCTGTAACCATTGCTGGCACACAAAAACTGTCCCTGAGGAGTGGTCGACAGCCTCCGTTGCTATGCTATTCAAGAAAGGTGACCCCGCTGACCCGAATAATTACAGACCAATTTGCCTCCAGAGCATTGCGTACAAGTTGTTTGCCTCACTTCTAAAACAACGTTTTCTCGATGCGGCGTTGAACCCAGACTCTGGAAATCTCAGTTTGGATTCCGAAAGGGGCATAGCACCGAAGACGCCATCTTTGTTGCCTTGCGAAAAATCGAACAGGCCTGTGCGCAGTGTAATGGGCAACTTCGTCTTTTGGCTCTTGACTGGCAAAAGGCTTTCGATAGCATGAACTTGGACATACTTGGACAGTTTACTTGATGCTCTACGTCGGTTCGGCCTGCCGGATTTCTGCTTCCGGATGATTTCCAACATGATGCGTTGCCGTCGTTTCTTCGTACAAGATCAAGGGGTCAAGTCTTATATCAAAGCGCAAAGATCTGGAATTTCGCAAGGTTGCACACTGAGCCCCTTGCTGTTTATCATGGCGATGACTGTTCTAATGAAAGATGCTGTGTCAAGCCTTGGCGATTCAGCCGCGGCTGCCTATCAACGAGGTGATTTGGCAGACATCGTTTATGCTGATGACACATTGCTCCTTGCCTCATCCGATCACCATCTGCAAGAAATCATGTCAAAGGTTGCGGATGCTGGCAGGCTGTATGGAATGGAGTTCCACTGGGACAAATTCCAGCTACTTGAGGTTCAATGTCGCACGTCAATCCTGAATCCGGAGGGGGAGCGCATCATTCCCAAATCAGACATAAACTACCTTGGAACTGTGCTCAGTTACAACGGTTTACCCGGACACGAGCTGGGGCGTCGAATTGGTATAGCCAAATCTGACTTCAGAGAATTGCAACAGGTATGGAAACATTCGTCACTATGCCGTTCTCGAAAAATCCAAATTTACAGATCGCTCATTGAATCCAAACTTTTGTGCAGTTTGAGCTGTCTATGCCTTTCAGCTGCAGATCGTCGTCGCCTTGATGGTTTTCAGAATCGATGCTTGAGGAGCATTTTGGGCATTCCTTCCGCGTTCAGTTCTCGAATTTCGAATGCTGAAACCAGGCGGCGAGCTGACTGCTGTGCCAGTACGGATTTACTTTTGCAACGTCAGTTCTTGCTTTTCGGGAGAGCGTTCAGATGTTCACATGACCACCCTCTGCACACTGCCGCATTCATTCCTGGAAGCTTTCAACCAGCCACCAGTGCTTTTGTCAGAAGGGTTGGCAGACCGAGACGTGAATGGGTTACCGAAATCAGAAACAAAGCTTTTGAACATTTTGGCGGCCACCAAGACATCGCTAGACTTGTACAGAATCCATTTGTTTGGCGTCGTACGGTGAGCCAGCTTTTGCCTGTCCACGCGCCGCATGGCGTATGACTGACTGACTGACTGACTGGCTGGCTGGCTGGCTGGCTGACTGACTGTCTGCATGTCTGCATGCTTGCAGCTCTTTGGGTTCGTTGCGTGCCGCGCTTCGTTACCAGTTTTGCGGGCTTGCTTCCATGCGTGTTGACGAATTGCCAGAGATCTTTACTGCTCCTGCATGATCGTGTCGGATTGTACAAGATGTGCAAAGATTGGAAAGTCGCGCGAAAACCTGAACAAAGCCTGAAATTTCCGGCTTGGCCTTGAGAGCACCACGAGCTCCTACGCACTTGCGGCTTCATGCGCGTGTTACTTGTAGGCTGAATACGTCAAAGGTTTGCTTATTGCGGAAAATGGCTCATGGCAGGATACTGTATGTGCTGATCTGCTACCCGGCTACCCTGTGCTCACAAGGTGAATGCTCAGCGAGATCCATCTAGTCAGCCACCGTGAGCGCCTGGCTCCAAGTGAGAGCGCGTCTTGGGAAATCCATGCTGGTTGCTTGTGCGAATTCTGCCGTTCACGGCTGGAAAAGTGCAGCCTTAATAGTCCTTTCCCCCTGATAATGAGAGATGCCCCCCTGCCCCTCATATTAAACACTCGGCGGCCCGAACAATTAACATGAGGTGGGGGCGGGGGGGTAACCTATAGAAAGAATTCGATAGGGCTTCTTCCTCTAAAATCCTTGTAACTCCATTGAATAATTAGTTAATTAAGTAAATCAATTATTGAAGTACATTAGGTAGAAACTACTTCAATAGCCATTTGATTCACTCCGTCAATGACGTATCTAAGCACTTTATTGTCCATTGAACCCCCCCAATTCATTATCGGGTGGCCCCTTTGAAAGTAGCCTTCCCCTTTTAAAGTAATCTTCATGAAATTTAGGCCCCTGAATTTATTCATTAATATAAAGGGGGGGTTCAATATTAGGGGGAAGGGATTACTCTGAGTGCTGGTGAAGCAGGTTAGAGCAAGGATGATGCGGCGTCCCGAATTGGATTGAATCCTTGAGCAGCCTGTGGATCTGACTCTAGAGCCGCCCTTCGTAGAGTTCGTAGAGCAGCTTTTTGTTCAGTCAGAAGAGCAAGCTTAGCAAGCTTACGTTTGGAGAAAGTAGCTGAGGGTTGACGTAGAGCCAGTTTGCGCTTGGTGTCTGATGCTGTCAACTTCACTGGATTCCATGCTCGGAGTGTGTGCATGCAAATCCGCAACTTTCAGGCTGCAAGCAGGAGGCATTGAAAACCCATGGTTTCCTGCAGCTATACATATGTGGTAGCGAGCCTTTTGAGCAGCCTGATGCTTCGGTCATGAAGCTGCTGCCGATTTGGGTTGTACTTGCAACAGCTTGGTCGAGCTGCACTACCTTTGAAGAGGCAGAGACGGACACTGACATCTTCAACACGCAATTGCTGCAGTTGTCGCATGTCTTGCAACGTGGACCAACGCGAGACTTCTGGGACCTGCAAGGAATCCTGACAGACAGTCCACCGGGCACTTTCCTGGCACGCATGAAAACACTTGTCCATGCTGTAGGCTTGACGTACAATTCGTCCCGGCCCCATGCTGACAGCGCAGGACACAAAACTGAGCCAATTGGAATGGGGACATGGGACAGGCTCCGCGAGCTTGACAGGGATCCCAGCCCCGGCGGTGTCTTTGCAAGAGTCTTCGTGGACCGAGAGAGCAAGGCAGGAATTGTAGTTTTCAAAGGTGTCTGTACTGATCCGCACCTGGAACAATGCCAAATTGATCAATGCTATCTCATCAAAATCCAGAACTATGGCCTCCTTTCTGCGCAAGTAGCCAAGCTCAGCGGTTTTGACCCAGCAGGCTGTGCCCAGCGTCAGCCATATTTGGATTATACAGCCCAGGCAAATGAATTCATCCGCCAGGTGCAAACCAAATTGCCAGATTACAGCCTTCTCCTGACTGGCCACTCACTGGGCGGAATGCTTGCCATTGTCACAGCTGCTCAGCAGCCAAAGCTGCTGAAAGCCTTGACGTTTGCACCAGCACCATTCCATTGGGTTCTGACGAGCGAGCTACACTTCTCCGAGGAGCAGGTGAGCGCTCTGCGGGCGAACGACCTCGTGGCTACCTGTGATCCTTATGATTGTGGCATCAATGCAATATATGCGAATCAAGCACGCGCCGGTGCTGAAACGTGCCTATACCTCCACATGCAGGAACCATCTCCCTGCCAGGGGCTCCAGGAACCTTACAGCTCTGCTACCTGGCGGAAGCGCAACAGCAGTGCCGCCAATATTTCCATCCCAGATCTTCTGTGCAAGGGATCTGCCCATCGTTGGCGAAGGTACGAGGAAATCGTACTACGAACAGATTCGCAAGGGCAGCCTGTCAATCTTCCAGTTTGTAGCACAGACTTTAGTGTCCTTGAGACAGCCTTTCAACGGTCAGGTTGAGCTGTGGACGACTTACAGGGCTGGAAGCCATTTTCTCGGGCAAAAGTCACGCAAAAACTTGTGTCTGTACAGCTTGAACGCCCTGGAAGATTTCCTGATGCACAGGAGCTTTTGCGATGTGACCCTGCAGCCCCGTAACATCAATCCATGTCCTCGCCCAAGGCCAGCGTCTGCGACTACGGCAAAGGGCATCGGCTGCCAGCAAAGGTGAGTCTCTGAATGTGCTGCAGGGTAGCCGACGAGCCTCCATGGATCTCCATGGGCTCTTCGCGATAGAAGAAAAGCGCATTCCAGCTTGCCAAGGTGAAGCCGGCAGTGCCTTGCATTAGTTCTTTGATGGAGCAGCACGCTGGGGATGTTTCTCTAACCCCAAACACTTGCCGCCAGAGCCTAAGCGCTTGAAGCAAAGAGTGCAGGCACTTGGTTCTCGACAGCTACTCTCCCTTCCTGGGAAATGCTGTCCTTGTATCGGCTGGCAGCTTGGAGAACTGTATCGCCTCATCCTTCCAACTAGGAGTATATTTTGCTTTGTCGGCACAGCAGCTCTCTAGCAATTCTTCAGCACAGGGCGGGCACTAGAGAGTTGCCCTGTGTGCAAGCGAGGCACCTTGTGTGTGGGAGGAGAGATGCATTTTGCCACAGTGCCCTTGGGGTTCCTGCCAAGAAAAGCATATCTGATGTTGAGTGTTATGGGAAGAGGCTTGTGCATCGCCCGTAAACCCCATGTGGAAGTTTTCATATAAAACGACCACGGCTGGCTTAAAAGACCTTCAGCGAAAGGTGGCGATGGTGCTTGCAAAAGGAACTTTGGATTTTGCGAAAGAAGTATCGTAAGCTGTTTTTTGTACTTACTCAAACATGCTTCTGCGAAAGCTCGCGATGGGGTGCGCGAAAGATGCGCGAAAGGAACTTGGATTTCTGCTAAGAGGACATTTTGTTATGAAGGTAATATTGGGCAACGCCCAGTTCTTCAGCTAGCCCTCACAGTCCCGCAATCAAATCATGTGGTATATCCAGATTCACATACACGACACATGAGATTGCGTCGCACGGCATGTGTCAATGCTAGTGCTACCGCGCGCCGCGTCGGCATGCCTCGAGGTGGGTTGGCTGACATGCCGAGCACCCCAAAGCTGAACATCAGAAACCACCTTGGAGGTTTGGGGGGTTTGGAAACCAGCTCCTACGCACCAGCCCATGACCAGGGAAGTCTAAGTAAAGCCTGACCCCCCTGCCTTCCGCGGAATTACCTCAGCCGAAACGGTTGCTGTCACCCGGTTGCTGTAAAGAAAGCCTCCAAACGTTTGAAGACAACTGTAGAACCTATCAACAAGTTTCACTCGCGGCGTGGAGGGGAAAGAGGAAGGGAGACTTTTTCGACTTTCGGATCGAAGAAACATCAATTGTGCTCCAGTTTTTTGTTCCGTCCCCACTCATTTAGAAATGCTGGAGGGGATTGAGGTTTTGGTTGCGAGGGCCAGCAGGAAGGGATGGGGGATCTAGGCACATTGTATAAGGGCTTGTGGGAAGATGGTGCAGCTGCAACTGGGGTGGCTTATTTACAGATATGCACGATCAATCTCAGCCCGTAAAATCCAAGAAAAGCTGGGAGGTGGGGGAAGGGGAGGCTGTGGCCCTGGGGAATCCGGCAGCGCCCGAGTCTTCATGTTAGAATTTTTCCGTGAGCCTCAGAGGCTGACGCCAGTGATACGTCGTTTTCGGTGCTTGGCATGAAGGGCTGCAACATGTGATAACATGTGGCTATCAGCCTTCGAGAGCAGAAACTTAAGGTCCCATGGTGTCGGCTGAACAACATCCTCAAACCTTGTGCCACGCAAACTTCCTCCTCCAAATGTCCAAATGACTAGCCTGTGCTCCTACGCCATCCCAATCGCATCTTCCCCAGCTTGGTCAAAATCTTCCATAGGTTGGACCTCCGTGCCCTATTTCAGCCCACTCCTTACGTCACACTTCACTTTTCTGGCAAAGGTCTCGCTCTGGAACCAAGGGCGCCGTCTGTCTGCGCTGAATGCAGGGCGCGGCCTCCTTGTTTGGCTGGGTACACATGCCTAGGTTATAGGACCTGTCATAGGCTTAGGGTTCGTGCTTCTGCCGGATCCCAGATTTCTCCAATTTCTGCCATTAGACATGAGGTGCTAGCCTTCGAGTCCAAGCCTTTTGCGTGATGCCTGTGTAGCAGCAAAGTTGTTCCGATGAGTGCAGCCAGCCTGCGGAAAGCCAAGCCTAAGCTGGTCCCGCATCAAAAGCTGGCAGGCTGTACAATTTGCTTCGCGTGATTCCAGTGCCCTACTTCACCCGCTACGACTGCAGTCAAGAGGCGAGCAGCTGGAATGAAGTGCACGTTGCCTTGCTTCGTCCTGCGAGGAAAGCTTATTGAGCACTCCGCGGCGGCTAGTTGTGTCCTTTGCTGGATCGATCAAGGCCAGAGCCAACTTCTAGCACTGGTGATGTTGAACAATTGGCAACGTTCTGGATGGGCATTGACCACATTTGTTCTTGAACAGCACGAGGACAATCCGCCCTACTTCGTTTTCAGAGAGAGGCACCCTAGCACGTCTTTCATTTGTGCCGCAGTACTTCGGCTGTGCGTACATCAGCAGCTTGTGGAAGCAACCAAGTAGATGGGAACCTTGGGTAATGAGGAACTGAATGGAACTGATTTTTTGTGCCTCGAAGTAAGTTGTGAGCAGACGAAGTGAATTCAGATATCAACAGCATCTACTGCCCGGGAAAAAACAAGTTTGGCAGTGTTTTGCAGATTTCAACGGAGTGGGTGCTGGCTAGCTAATTCGTAGCTTCGTGGAGATGCAATTGAGCCACAGAGCAGCGTCACGGCCTGCTGGAGAACTGAGGCTCTGGAATACATTTGATTGAGGTAAGATTTGACACAGCATGCAAATTACTTGAGCACTCCGGGCCTCATCAATATGTCCTGATGGACCGATGTGCGAAGGCTCCGGGGTAGAGCTCTGTAGAACCGATGAAGAGGAGGAGGAGCTGGAGGCAAGAGAGAGAGAGCGAGAGATACCTGATCCAGCTTGCGGCGTTGCCGCAGCCCTCCCTGCGAGGGGAGGGTGGAGCTGTGAGAAGAAGAAGAAGAAGATACCTGAAGCTCAAGAGTTGTTTCCGTAAATCAGCATGATTTTGAATGCTGCACCTCCCACGCAAACCATGGGATCACTCTCAAGCGCCACCTGTAGATCTGCACAAGCGGGCACAGGGATAAACCAACACATTTCAAACAGCACGTTGCAGGTGACATTTGCTCGGCCTCGGAAAACAATAGTACTGTTGGTTTAAATGCTGGCCAGTGCACCTGTAACTCCAACAAGAAAAGCCCAGCAGGGACGGGGGGCAGTCTTAGAACGCCAACCATTTACATAGGAATGAGCCATTTGAGGCTGCGAAGGCTTTGCCAGCCCCATTAGAGTCATGAACAACGGAAAGGGAAGAGAGACAAATGAGAGGGGCGGGTGAAGGAGGTAAGGGGGAAGGGACCGCGGGACAGACGAGTGCAAACAACCGTGAGCGCGGCATGTTTGAAGAAGCAAGACTAGAGGCAAAGCTGCTTTTGTTATTGCTGCTGCGCTGATGTTTTCGGGCCCGAGTGCTGGCTTTCACGCTCTGCGTGCCAGCTTCATCAAGATGTGGCTACAAAGATATAGCCGCATAGGGGTGCTGTTGCTGCACTTGGCAACCAGCCAGCTGACAGCCCTCTCGGAAGAAGAAGCAGAAGGTCTTATCCAAGAGATGAAGGGCATGCAGGCTAACCGGACGACAAAGCACGAGTCCGAGCTGATGGACCGAGTAATGAGTTTGGTTCTCGGAGATGCCGCACATGCGCGTTTGCAGAGCACGGAGCCCAACACATCCAAAGGCTGCTCTTGGCCTGAGTGTGCGGCTTACTGCGTTCCGTGTGCCAAAACCAACAAGTATTGGACGTGCCTCACCCCATCAACGGAGTGCCAGGAGAACTCAGAGTGCATACTGGGAGCATGTTTTGCAGAGCCAGGATACTGCTACGCAGATGCCTACCCGCAAATTGCTAGATGCTTCATGGGAGCCGTCCCTAAGAAGCCCAAATTTCGCAACAACATCATCCTGCGGCTGGGAGCTGCTCCACCTGTGCCAAAGCCGAACGAACCTTCGGCTAGATGGCGTTCGTGGGCTGCATCATGCTGTGTGATGCCTGGTGTGTTCCTCATTGCAACCATCTGGATAGCTTACAAGACATGCTGGGTTATTGATTTTTCTGCTGGCGATGAGTGTGAATGGTTGCCTGAAAGGAGACGTGGAATAGTGTGCTTAACTGTTGTTTGCATGCTACTCTTTGCTGTTTTGCAGTTGTTGCGTTTTGTGTCTGTGAAGACGGAGATTGCAACAATTGCAGAGCGGTTGGGCCATCTGGAGAACTCCATGCAGAGTTTGAGACACTTGTCAGAACAGCTGCTTGCTGCAGAGAGAAGCTACAATCAGTCATTGACGATGGCCCCAAGGGCCTGTGGAAAGGACAACCCGTTGGCAAAAAAACTTGTCGAGATGCTCGCAGGCACGCTTCAGGTTCAATTCAACGAGGTGGACGCTATTCTTCTTCTTGTCAGGGAGTCATTCTCCACCGCGAGAGTGTTGTTGGACAGAGCCAGGGACTCTGTAAAGGACACTGGCTGGAAGATCATATATTATCCTTTCATCCCAAGCTTTGTCCTGATTGGCGGAGTCATCGCCATCTTGGCTACAGCATGTTACATTTGGAATCAGCCCAAGCTGATGTACACGCCGCGCATGCACCTCGCCCTGAAGTCCTTTGCCCCCATCATTGTCATCTTTATGCTGACCGCCGGGATTTGCGGCGCTGTTGCTTTCTTTATTTCTGTGGTAGTCAGTGGGTATTGTCTTCAAGTGGATGACAACTTGGTAGAGGCACGGAAGGGCTGCTGTATGCACACTTTCAGTCAGTTGATGGCAGGCAGTCTGGGAGTACCTGTATCAATGAGCTTGTGCTAAGAATGTCATGGCGACTAGGCCGTTAAGTTTAAAGTCTTGGTGATTATACTAACGAATATATTGATTGGTTCGGGTTTCTTTAGAGACACTGTTTTTTGTTCAGCTTGGAGATGTGTGAGCTCTGCATTGAGCCATGGGCCATGGAGTAGTTTGTTGGCACCAGCTTGAGGATGTGTCCTTTTTCACCTTCTGCCTTAGAATCGAGGTTCCTGGCTAGAAGGAGATTCTCAGATACAGTACTGCCGTGTTACCAGCAGCTGATGAGGGACGAAAGTGTTGCCTTCCTAGCTATCTGTTAGTGTAAGCGGGCATTGGAGTGTGAAGTACCATCCTTGAAGTGTTAGACTTAGAGGCATACTGCATCCTGTTCCGATGCAGCTTTGAACATTGCTTCGTCTCAGGCCGCCAATCACCAGAAGCATTTTGTGAGTGCATGCACAGAGTATCTTTACAATCATGCGGGACCGTGCAGCCAATCCTTTTCCCTGTCGCTTAAAGCAAGTCAACAAACTTGCCAGTGTGGGGCTAGAATTTCGCAAGATATGCATTGCTGGAACCTCCTGGCCAACTGTGCAAGCAGTTTTGACAGATGCTTGCGGGAGTTCCATCAATCCCAACTTGCCCCTGAACAAGTCAACTCGCGGCAAGTCACAGCCAAACATGGCTGAGCCAAGCCGTTACCCAACACGATGCTGGTTCAAAAGCATCGCCAAGGCGGATTCCATTGATATAAACCAGGTGCCACACCAGTGTGTTTACCGTTATTGCAGAAGTCGGCTTGCATGTCATGTCCTACAGAAACAAGTCAAAACAAGAGTGTGCTTGATGTTACCGCATGAGACTTCACATTTCTGCTACGGTTTGAACCTTACCTGCTTTGGTCTAAGAAGTGAGCCCGCAATTTTGTTGCTTTGACTGATTCACGAGTGGTTCTCCACGGCCTGCAATGTCTCTCTTGACATCCACATGGCTACCGCTCAATATGATTATCTCAGCAACAGACCCCAACAGCGATGGAAGAGCACCGCGTTTTTTTT